TTTTTTTTTTTGGCTCTGAGAAATCGAACTTGAAATGCGAAATTCAACTACCGTGGTGGATCTGACAGGAACGCCTTCGCCTCTGTCGGATGGCCGGTTAGAGGCATCATGAGATACATGGTGATGAATGTATCCCCATACCCGTTACTTGTTCATCCTCGTGGCTGTGTTCATGGACACATTTTATTGCCACAGTACATCCCTATGAAGACTTAGGTGAAGGAGATCGTACCAACCCATGAATTGGGGTGCACAGCTGTTCTTCTTTGTTTTATGTGCAATTTCAATTCATTTTAAATCAGAAAACGATCCATTCATGCGAATAAAAAATCACTTAGTCTTTTCCAAAAGACCATAAAATTGCGTCACACATTGTAGAATACTTCACTAGTGGGTCCAGGCCCCAGGCAAAAGTTGTTAAGTTTATTTTCTGCATAACATAGTTTTTTTTTTTTTCCGGAGTTTTTGGATCGTTTTTTATTTTTATTTTTTTCTGGGACCTTCCGTGGTCCTTGCACGACCAGGCCGCCCGGGAAAATAGAGTGACCCGGGCGGCCCGGCTGGTAGCCTAGGTCAATACTAAATAGACTCAATACGCCATTACTAGAAACTTCGATTCGTCGAGGAAAAAAAGAAAAAAAGAAAAAAACTCTGATCATTAAGTTAAGAGCTCTGACTTTCAAACAACATGGGACCTCCAAAAAAAAAAAGAAAAAAAAGGAAAAAATAAAGGACCATCGTCCGGTTTGGCAAGGACAAATAGCAAAAGAGGGGTAGAGGGTGGGGGTGCAGACAAAGAGGGTTGTAGCTGGAGAGAGAGGCGGGGAGGGAGGACTAGGGGGTAGAAAAGGGAGAGGCGAGGCAATACAGGGGGGGGGAGGAGGGGGGGGGGGGCAAAATGACCCACCTTCTCCATCATGTCCAACACTTCAAAGCCGTGTATTACCCTTCCAAAAATAGTATGCAAACCTGCAAAGACTCAAATTATCCCATCCAAAATAGGAAAGAAATCATTAGAAGCGCAATGACCCGTTAGCCTCAGCCATTGAAGCTTGAACTTTGAACATGCCAATTTGCTATTTGTCCTTGCCATACTAGTCAAGGACTATGGTCCTTTATTTTTTCCTGAGTCCTTGACTAGTATGTCCTTGCCATTGAAGTTCTACTTTATTTTTGTCTGAGACCTTGACTAATATGTCCTTGCCATTGAAGTTTGACTTTATTTTTGTCTGAGTCCTTGACTAGTATGTCCTTGCCATTGAAGTTTGACTTTATTTTCCTTGGCTCGTATGTCCTTGCCATGGAAGTTTGACTTTTTCCCTGAGTCCTTCACTAGTATGTCCTTGCCATTGAAAATTGACTTCATTTTTTTTCTTCTGAGTCCTTGACTAGTATGTCCTTGCCATTGAAGTTTGACTCTATTTTTTTCTGAGTCCTTGACTAGTAGTGGGGGTCCCTGTTAACCGCTTGTGTGCCATTGAAAATTGACTTGAATTTCTTTTCTGAGTCCTTGACTAGTATGTCCTTGCCATTGAAGTTTGACTAATTCCTTGCCATTGAAGTTTGACTAATTCCTTGCCATTGAAGTTTGACTAATTCCTTTCCATTGAAGTTTGAACATGCCAATTGAAGGAGTAGTGCCCCCCCCCCCCCCCCCCCCTTCCCTAAGATGCCTTTTCCTTTTTTTTTTCTTCTTTTTCTTTTTTTTCATGTTAACCTTCTCTGTAAGTGCAAGGAATATGAGCAAGAGTGATAGAAAAGAAATCCAAGTTGCGTTCTCTCACACCACCGATGGTCAGAGCAGAAGTCAATTTTGGTATCAATCAGGAAATTCTTGCTGACTGGGAATATAAAGTCCAAAAGAAAGGCTATTCTGCGAAGTCGCTCAAACTGTTTGTTAGTCGTTGGGAGATGTTCTCAGGACTGGTCACTGTAATTCAGAATGAAGGGAGACCGCCGGGATTGAGATTCTCTGCATTCTTTTTGTAAACTGCTTCTTCGAGTGATAGATTGACAATGTTTTGTGAAAACTTTAGAGACAACTGTGGTAGGAAGGACTAAGCTGCTAATTGCAGTAGATATTAAGAATGTAGATGGGTAGAGTGACCAAGTGCGAAGGGTTGAAGTAGTCTGGAGTAGATGTGGTTTGATAGTGCATAATTTGTGTTGTGTATTGCTGTTGTGGAAGGTTTTTAATTCCTGGGCACATAGAGCATTGGTGGTTGGGGTTCTGGGCGTAGGGGTCGTGTTGTCCATTGCAGGGTGTACAAATGAAATGACTGCCTTGGGTATCTCCTTCGAGAAAAAAACTGAGCTTTGCGCAATTGCTACGGTTTGGGTTAAGCCTGGCCAGAGAGCCTGGCTCATCCCTGTAGGCTGCGGCTTCTGATGCGAGGGACGCTTGGCCCGTTTCCCAGCCTGCAATGGAATTTTCTTAAAAAAAATAAAAATAAAAAAATTCCAAGATGCAAAATCACGAAGTAGCACAGGTAGTCATGTACCAAGCAGAGAGCACAATCAACTCATGTTCCAATGTCGACGCTCTCTGGCCACCACAACACAGTACCCAATGTCGCTCCCACTCTCTGGTGCCCAGCACCCGGCCTACACAACTCAGCCTATCCACAGCTATCTACGTTCATGCAACTGGATCACTTCGAAGTCCAAAACCAATGTACGTGACGTCATCACCAATGCAGACAGCATACATCAGGTACGTTTTCTCTGCTACCCTGAACCGCACCTCATGCGCCTCCTACTCCGAAGACCACCTTCGCCGTCACCTGCACCTGCACGCTCGGCCCTGCTATGGCCACCGTGCGCCCGCTGCCACTGCAGCGCCCTCTCATCTCTTGCGCCCGCGTGCGCCTTAGCCTGCCTGCCTCAGTGCAGCTTCGCATGGCGTAGCAGGAGCCTGGCCGCATTGCCCGCTCAGGCCAGAACGTCGATGCCTGGGCAGGGCACTTTTCTTTATGGAAAGTGTGGCCCTGTGTTAGGCTGCGTGGGCCTGGCTGGACAAGTTTCCAGTGGCTTCCAGTCGGGCCCCAGTGTCTGCGCCCAGGCCCACTTTTGCTGTTACGGGCCTGGACCCCTTACAGTTGGGCGCATCCAGGCAGCCCTCCAGGCTCCAAGTGTTTGCCGCATTCTCATTGGCTCACGGTGCATGTGTGACGACAATACTGCATTCTCATTGGCCCGCGGCCAGTCCGTGATGTGGCGGCCTCACACAGCCTGTGCCCAGGGCGCAATCGGGTGAGCCCTGGGCTGAACTGTACACCACTGCTCTTGTTTCTGAGAGGAGCCTCTGAAGGCTCACGTTGCTTGGTAACCAACTGGCGTGCTGCAACTGTCTGATACCCCACATATGGAAAATGTGGAAAGTAGGCCTCACATGGAAAAAAAAAAAAAAAAAAAAAAAGGCCTCACATGGATATTCATGCCCGCCTTCACTTAGGGCGGGCACAATTCTTACTGGGGGCCACAGCCCAGAACACTTGCATGTCAGAAAGGGCGCGGTGAGGGCTCAGTCCTCGTATAAGACTCTGTATCATTCCAATTTGAGTGGATGTCCCAAAGGATTGTTTTTCTGAGGGTTTTTTTTTTTTTTTTTTTTTCCCTTCCCTTTTCATTCTATCCCTTAAGCAGCATTGGCCACGGGGGAGAGGTCCATGGCGCCCTGCGCGCCAGATTCGGGTTGAAGTTTTGGTGAGGGGCGGCGGATGAAGACGATCGAGGGTGGGGGAGTGTGCAGAGGGGCGCGCGTACCGAAATGTTCAGAGTGTGCCATTAAATGAGAGCGCGCGCCCCGGGGGTGGGGCACACGGCCGGCGTTGATGCGGACAAACACCTTGGAGGTGAGCCATCCGACATGTGGGCTTTTTTTTTCCCTTTTCTTTTCCCCGGGTGGCCGTCGTTTTTTGTCCGCCTTCTTTTTTTCCCTTCTTTTCCCCGGTTGGCCATCGTTTTGTGTCCGCCTTTTACTATTTTCATTTCTCGCGCCTGGCGTTTTGTGTCCCCCCTGTTTTTGTTTTCCTTTCCCCGGTCGGCTTTTCCTTCTTTTTTCATTTCCTGCGCCTGTCGTTTTGTGTCCCCCTTTCCTTTTATTTTCCCACCTGTCGTTTTGTGCCCCACTGTCGTTTTTTAAGTCTGTCTGAGTTTATGCGAGCGGTTCATTCGCGGTTACCTACAACATTTGTTATTTCTACAGACGTAGCCCACCTTGCCCGCACCGCGGGCGCTTAGCTAGTTTTTTTTGTAATGCTAATGTTACGATCCTGGCCAATTTCGAAGTACAAATTCATGAGAAAGCACAACTGCAAAAGAAATGAATGAACTTGAGAGGAGAGAGAGGGAAAGAAGAAGAAGAAGAAAGAAAGAAAGAAAGAAGAAAAAGAAGATGTACACCAGCAAAGGCAAATGATAATTCCCTTCTTCTCGCCAACCAATCTCCTCCTCCTTTTCTCCTCCCCTGGTATTCAAACAAAAAATAATACTGATAATAATGATGAATGGCCGAACCAGAATCAATGCCCGAATCCCTCTTCTACTGCAGGCATGACATGAGGTCCACCATAGCCATAGCCGCCTCTCCTTCCTAGGCCGAGGCTATGGCGGACTAATAGGGCCTTGCCCTTACCTGCAGAAGACAACGCAACACAGCTATGGCTACCCCTACTCCTGTCTCTTATACACATCTAGATGTGTATAAGAGACAGTCTCCATTCTCTTCATGAGGGCCGAGGCTATGGCGGACTAATAGGGCCTTGCCCTTACCTGCAGAAGACAACGCAACACAGCTATGGCTACCCCTACTCAGGCCGCCATGCCTGACTCTGCCTCGAAGCTTCTTGACGTAGCTCTACCCCAATGGGGTTCTTCGCCCATCAAGGTGATGAAGGTCCTGGGTCCTTATCCATTCTGGGGAGCATCAGTCAGGTTCCTATTCCACCGGCAAGTCAGAATGAAATATTCTATCGTTGCAATTTTCACAGAAACCAAAGCGAAGGACGTGTACTAAGTAAGTCAAAGCGAAGGATGTGTACTAAGTACGAGTAACTTGAAGTTCTGTTGGAAAAAAAAAAAAAAAAAAAAAAAAAAAAACTTGAAGTTCTGTTGAATGTTAGTGTCCACTTGGTCTTATAGTGGTAGATAGGGGCTAGAATGCAAAAGGCAGGAACTTCAGGAGTAAGTCTGCAGTCTGGGGCAGCGCAGGGACGAGCAGCCAGTCTGCAAAGTTACAGGAACATAGGGCCTCTTCAGCGAGTCTGTGGCGGGAATGTGAGTCCCTACCATGTCCCTACCAAATTTCAGATACGTCCCCGTAACTTTGTAAATTGCCTGCCCGTCCATGCGCTGCTCCAGATTGTAGACTTGCTCCTGAAGTTCCTGCCTTTTGCATTCCAGCCCCTCCATCTGGACTAGAAAGAAGCTTACACACCTATCTGACAGCCACGTAGCTGAGAGAATTCACGATGAAGTTCACCCCAATAGACAGGCTATATTCTGTCCATAGCGGAAGGCTACCGTCTTCCCCCGAACACAATGCACCCCCATTTTGCCTGTATCGGGCCGGAAACATACCTTGTATACATTCATTTTCAGGGTGCGTTATGTTCGGGGGAAGACGGTAGTCAGAAGAGCAACCTACATAGAAAGTACGTCAATGGATAAGGAGCCAGAGCCATAAGGTTCTGGTTTAAAAAAATAAAAATAAATAAAGGCAGTCCAGTAGCTGTCCGGTTCCACAGAAACCCAGACAAAGTTAGGGTGCGTTGATATTCCTCCGCAAACCTAGGCTACCAGAGTGGCCCGGGTCCACTTGCTCGGCCGGGCCAAAAAGAAATAAATGAAACGGTTTTCACCTTAGCAGTAGCAGATGCAGATCCCAGGGCTCCATCCCTAGACCTTACCACACCCGTGTACAGTATCAAACGACCCCTGTGTGTTTGAACCCGTGACCTGTGTTTTGG